ACGTGCCATGTCACTCATATTTTAGCAAACCACCTACATTCCCTTCATATTCCAGCAGTGAGAAGTAAGTTCCATTTGAACAGCTTCTTTTCTGCAAACCACTGATGTGTGGAACCAACTCCCAAGAGGATATTTCCCCAATCACTACAACCTGTTCAAATCTACAGTCAACTGTTATCTTCTTCTCCTATCCGTATAAACTACCCCCTTAATGTAAACCTCTACTTCAAGTGGCCCCCAGCCTTGTACATAGTGAACCTTACTGTACAAAAAAGGGGGGGGGGTGCTAATAATGTTTTTCTTGATGTAGTAAATAATGTTTGTAAATTGAAATACATGTAACCAGATGAAAAGTGTTAAAGAATTTAACAATAGACCGAGAGAAGAACAGGAATTGTTTTTAATTTGAAATTTTATTTTTTAAGCAGATACAGTTTGAAGATTGATGCACTGCTTAAAGTGGAAATTACAAAAACATGTTTCTTGATTGTGCAAAAGGTCAATTGAGATATAATATTCGGTAATTTTGGAAACGAAGGCAAAATAAGGGAGCTGATTTATTCTACTTATCAAAATGTGGAAATTGTAAACAAGTCAAGAAATAGTTTCTTTATACGAAGACCTAGCCTAGTGTTTCTAAATGTGTAATAACCCTAACAAGATATGGAGTTAACTGACTGCAGGAAACAGCTGGTAAATTTCTGATTGTATGAACAAAACCAGGCTGGGAAAAATTTGCTGATGAGAAATTAAAATGATAATTCTAACTAATGGCCAAAAGCAATCCATGCCATGCAGTTTGAAAACCAGATTTGTCAAAATGACAACTAAGGTGACAGGCATAGGTGAGACACCAAGAAGGATGGAGGAATTGTCTATGCTCATTGGGAAGTAATGGTGTGAAGCACAAATAAGAGAAGGAAGGAGTTATACAGGCGAGCCAATATTTGCAACCACTACCCATAGGAAGTAACAATCTCCAAATTTGGGGAGATAATTAATTTTCCTAGGCAAGACAACAAAGAATTCTTGTTGTGAGATAGGGGAAACACCAGGTCCCCTAACTACATCAACCCCCATGCCAGTCTTGGGTAATATTCAATATAGGCAGAACACTTTGGGCGAATTGAAGAGTTCCAGAGTTGCTGGCTAGAGATGCAGATGAGGCCAGACAGCAGGAGGAGCTGCTGAATCCCACATGACTTGCTGCTAGAAAGAACCTTTGACTTAAGCCTTGTTACAAACATAGCTAAATTGAGCAAAGTGTCATGATAGAATTTAAAGTGGGAATGGTTAATATTCCTGTACAAAGAAGAAAAAAAATATATATATATATATAAGAGAGAGTTAATAGATAAAAGAAAGTTCTAGTGGCTTATCTTCTGACTTTCACAGATATACAGTTCCACTCGTCAAGTTAAGATAAATCTATTGAATTCTTGAGCAGATACGTTTATCTATTTGTCTTAAACGCATTAACCCTCAGTAATTTGCTAGTTGATGTGTTTTGTTAGGTGTAAACTATATATATATATATATATATATATATATATATATATATATATATATATGAAAAAGATTTTAGTGTCACACCATCTAAATCATATTCTTAAAACGGAACATTTTATTTTATTAATCAAAAAGTCGGATACAAAAGCATCGTCTTGATTAAAAATGGAAATTTTAAGGTACTTTGCACAAAATTTCTCCAGTCTTTCAGTTTATATAAAGCAATTTGTTATAATTATGTGTATACATATTTATTGGTGACCTTTCTCCTCAATAAAACTTATTGATAGATTTGTTTCTCAGGCTTCCTTCATTCCTTTTAGAAGTTTTGATATTTTGCCACTCATTCTAAACAATTTGCATTGCTGCTGCTTACCAAGTAGGTAAGGAAGGTATCTTACAAGTTTCTTTGTTTCCCTTAAATCATCCCTTCTATTTTTCAAAAGAGTCTGCTGAATCTTCTTTTGGGGATCACCATCAGGTGCTTCATTCTATTCTTAATTTTGAGTCACTGTATTTCAAAAGCAATCTTTCAGATATGCAGCTTAAGTAATCGTTATCTGCTTCAAAAGAGGAATCAGCAAGTTGTGTTCCAATTTCATTCTAGTTATGTTTACTTTCACACATCCTTGGAAAAGGCATGAATCAATTTCTTCTCATCCCATCAGCTATGGATTAAATAGTAGAGCAGACTAGGCCCTTTAGCCTTAGATGGGGACCAGTCTAAGATCTACAAAGGACAGGAAATTGTGAAGAGCCACGATTGCCTATGTCCTGAAGGAACATGGCACATAGAAGAAGTTGAATGGTTAACATAAGAGATACTATTACAGTTAGGGACCTAAGTTTAAATTCTTGACTAGTGTATTCACTTTCTCACTAACACCCTTGGGAAAAACAAGAATCAACCTCTTCTCTCCTCTCCCCCATCATCATTGGGTTAAATAGCAAGATAAACTGGGACTTCTACCCCTGCATGGTAACTAGTCTAAGAAGGAAAACTCTGAATTCCAAACTATAGAATGCTTATGGTGGCATCACATTGAAACAGCATTCCATTATGATCATTGAAGTTAAACAACATCGAACATGGTCAGTACCTAGATGGGTGACTGCTTGGGAATAGCAGGTGATGTAAGCTTGCATTTGCCAATGGTGTAATGGATGATGCCTCAGAATTGTTAATGAGAGAGTCGAATTCAAATTCCCATTGTGTTCATTATATTCACCCTGTCTATATGTGTGATCCCATTCCGAAGTATGTTGTTTGTGTACAGAAAGTCTACGTCTCCCGAAGTGTGTTGTTTGTGTACAGAAAGTCTACGTCTCCCGAAGTGTGTTGTTTGTGTACAGAAAGTCTACGTCTCCCGAAGTGTGTTGTTTGTGTACAGAAAGTCAACATCTCCATTATATTCACTTTCTTACAAATAACCTTGGGAAAGGTATGAATCGATCTCTTCTCTTCCCAGCTATGGGTTAGTAAGACTTGTATCATTAAAACTATTATCTCCACAAAAATAAAAAAATAAAAATTGCATACAGAATATTTAGATTTTGGCATTAAATAACCCATAGAGGTGATGATATGTCGCTAAACAAAAGCAACCAATGTATATATCTGAATAGGCCTTCGACATACATACATCAGAATAAATAAATAATAGATTGGTGCATAACAAAAAAACAGAATCTGGAAAGTGAGTTTGAATTTCTTCTGTGGATACTCATAATCATTTAAGACAAATGTCCTTAGAGAAAGAAAATTTCATGAACTCTTAGAGAAGGTAGTAAAGGAAAGCAAGAAGAAAGAACCAATGAAGATAGAAATATGGTTATCAACAAGAGGAACGGCAAACCAGGAAATGGAGATTTCAAAATCAAGCACTTATGAAAATTTAAATATCTGGGAAGTGCTTTAACAGATGGCACTGAAAGGAGCATTTGAATAGCAAAGATGCCTTCCAAAAACTAAGCAAAGTATTCAGAACAGAAAAATTTCATTAAAGTAAAGTGCTCAACTGCTATGTAATATCTGTCCTTCTCTATGACAATAAATGCAGGACAGTTTTCTCTCAGATGAAAATGATGAAGCATCAAAAATGTCCTTCTACAGAAGGATGCTGAGAATACCATATAGCAATGAGGAAGATTTAAGGAAAATGGAAACAAAAATAGATGCCTATACTTATAATGAAAATGAGATAGTTAAAATTTCTAGGACACATAATGAGGAAAGAAGCCTTGGCAAATTTCACACTCATAGAACATGCTGAAGGCAAAAGTCAAAAAATGAGTGACCTACCTCACAAGCTTGCATAAACCGATGACAAAGTAGGAATTGGGTGTGATAGTAAAGGGACATTACTTAGAGCTACAAAGTGTATGAGAACCATAACTGTCCACATCATGAAGGGGGCACAACACATGAAAAAAGTGACAGTATGTAATATTTATGATGCACCTTTTTCATGCAACACATTTGAAGTCAGTCAATATGTTCAGATATGTTCTTTAATCTTTGATTGCAGCTGTTTGTAGTCCCTTCACTGTTTACTTTTACTGATTCATTTATCATTGCATGAATTTTTGTCGGATAGTGGCTGAGAAGGATGGCTGAGTTGGAAATAAAAATCAAAATTGTCAGAAACTGATTTCCCATCTTCACCAGAATCCATTCTAACAAATAGAAAAAGAAAAAAAAAATGATCTGCCAATAGCATTTAAAGTTGCTCCACTTGATGGAATTTGTCGAGTGATTCTGTCACATTTTCTCATGAATTCAAGGCCATAGAAATTCCTCTTGTCAATCCAGGTTGCTTTGTAGGAAGGAGATCCATGAAGAGAATCCTTGACTTGCTTTTTACAAAAAGGGACAAGACATATAAAGAAAAAAAAAAAGAGTTACTAATCTAATCAATAGCAGGTTTCACTTCCCATTGGTCAATAAATTAAGGCAGGATCTTAAATATTGAACCAATCAGGTTTATCCAAAGTAAATTCAAATAATCTAATTTGTACTCTCAAAAGGAAAAGGGATGATGGCTTCTCCAAGGATGAAGAATTTCACTCAGATCGATAACCAGAAGAGTAGGTAAAAATAAATATTTAATAGGCAGATATTTGTATTAATGGTTTAGTGGTTAGATCATTAGCCTGGTTACTGGAGGTTTTGATTAAAATTCTTTAAAAAAAAAAAAAGAAAGAGAAAAATATCAATAGTTATTTTGAATAATGAATCAGTTGTTGAAGTAATATTTCTCAGAATGAGGCAGGGGGTTAGCAGTCTTTTAAATTTCTGAGAATACCTTAGCAGTGGTTGGTGCTTGAAGAGTCCTTGGCATTTGGTAACTTCCATGCATTTTGGCTAATAATAAAAGTATTTGAATGTCTTGGAAGTTATACTTTTTTTTCCATTTTTTTTGTAGTATTCTAATCAGTTATCCAATTAACAATTCCAAACCATTATCTATTACACCACCTTCACATCCAACCTTACAGTACCTGGTATTTGTAAATGGTCACCCATCTAGGTACTGAACAAGTTCAATGTTGCTTAACTTTGGTGATCATATGGGAATCAGTGTTTCAATGAGATGTGGCCATAAATCTTATGAAGTTGTGCATTATGAGAGACAACCATACCATTGCTGGAAATATTCTTGTATTATGTTTTCCTGAACACCTTCCAGTATTGTGATGATTTTCCAGGATGAGAAAGGGTCTCAATTAGTCTTTGTCCTTTCATGATATTTTTTAATTTTGTAAATAGGCAAAAATCAGTTGGGAGTTAATTCTGGTGAATAATGTGGATGGCCCAGTTTTGTAACAGATTTCATAGCTAGAAACCTGTGAACACCAAATACATCATTTTTCTCATTTTCAAATTCTTTGTTTGGATCTGTCTTACTATTTTTCTATTCACATTCTTTTGCTATTCCTCGCTCACTTAATCTTTGATCTAAGCTTACCAATGTTCACACTCTAACCATTTTATACCTATTCTTTAAGCGAAAGATTCTTTCAAGTCACTGTACAGGCAGGGTTAATGCATAGTGCCACTGCCCGGACATTAACTAAAACCCTCCAGTCTAAGCTTGATGGAACTTACACTTGGATGTGGAGAACTTAAGATCTGGGGATGACATCCATATAAATCACAGCTCAATGGCATTTGCAGAACACTGCTGGCAAGTGATCTACTGATTTGGACACCTAGCCATGAAGTGAGATGGGTTAGTTGCCCAGCAACTACCTACATTGTCCATTATTACACAGAATGCCTCCTTAATAACTTTTGATCTTGATGCAGGACTGTGATGATTGGCATGATAGACTCATGAATGTTTGAGCTAACTTGATCAAATAATAAATTTGCATTTTTTTCTGGCCACTTCTCACATCATTGTACATCACTCCTTGCTGTTCCTTGAACCTCCTGTGCCACTCAAAAATATTTGATTTCTTCATAGCATGCTCGCCATCAACTATTTTTCTAAGAGATAATTATTTACTAACACTTTTATCAATCTTTATATGAAGCTTGGTGTTAATCTGCTGCTCCAGACTCCTTTTGCTTGTTTTCTGCCAACAGTATAACATGAACCTTCCTCTCCTGCTTAGTAACAAATGAGACATCTGGGCTGCATCTGAAAAAAACAGAAATTGAAACCTGTTTGAGTGCAAATGTTTCCCTGACTGGCATTGTGGAACTCTCTTCTTCTTTCTTGCTCACAAATTCAACTTTCTGAATGGATAACTGTTATGCTACTTACACAACATATTGCTCTATGGTAGATGCCCAGACATTCTTTTAACTATTATTGCAATGTTAAAAATGTGTGCATGGCCAAGTAGCAAGTATTCTGTCCACAAGACCCATGCTTGAATCTCACCATGGTCAATTTGTTAGGAAGGTGACTTCTTGATAGTTATCGACCTGGGAAGACAATCCAAGTATGTGGCACTGTTGGAAAATACCTGGAAACTTTATAACATGTTGACCTAAACCTAGTGAGTGAAATTGGGTACACAAAATTCTTCAGAAGCCATATAAAGTCATATCATCATGATCAAGGATTTGAGCATACTAGTCTTGTTAAAAATGCTGATCACACCAGTTTATGTACTATCTCTCAGAAGTTGGCATGACTGATGGTTTGAGGGCACAGGTGTTGTTCAAACTGCTGATCACACCAGTTCAGGCTCTTCCTTCCTAGAAATTGTAACTAAGGTCCAATCAGTTGCTGTATAAACCACAGGTGCATTCTGTGGGTGTTAGAGAAATACAATTGTATCTGTGTTGACATTTACAATAAGAATTAGCTAGCTACCCTAGCAGACAAATGAGCAGCCACGTATACAATGCTTAAAAAAATCCCTGTTTGTTTGCTTGCCATAGATTAAGAATTTACAAGTTTTTTTTCTGATATAGAAACTTTGCATTTCTTGTCAAATGACAGCCACGTGGATTGTTTAGATTATTCAATTTATGGAACAGTCTTCCTTATCTTTTGCTTTTCTTTATCCACACACTGATTGGTAATAGAAAGTTGGAGTACATTGAGAACAATCAGGAAATTCAGTTTGTTTTCTTATCCTTTTGTGTAAATATCTCCATGATATTCATTTGCTTTTTTATTAAACTAAAGAAACCTTACAGATTCGGATTTGCTTCCACAAAGAGTAAAAGATACTGACTTTAATTTTGAGATGAGTCATTATCATCCCGAGAGTTGTTCAGTGTTCAACTCACTCTCTTTCTTGCTTCCATCATTACTTTAGCATTTCAGCCAGCCTATTCTCCAAACTTCTTCAGGTGTACAATCCATATGGAAGATGCCTTCTATAATTTTGAGATGAGTTATTATCATCCCGAGAGTTGTTCACAGTGTTCAACTCAATCTTTTTCTTGCTCCCACCATTACTATAACCAGATTTACCTATAGATTTAGCAGTGCCCCAAAATCCTTCAGCATCATCAGCCTTACTCAATGTTTAATTTAACACCCTTCCATTTACCTCTATCATGAGATTTGGAGGGGCCTCAGAAGTGGAATAGCCTAGGTCCTCTCTTCTTCTAAATCCAACCCAGACTCTAACATTTCAGACAGTCAATTCTCCAAATTTCTCCAGGTGCACAATGTATAAGGAAAGAGAAGTGGAGCGCTCTCTTCTTTAGAGACTGATGGTAAAGAGAAAAGAAATGATGACAAATATACTGACCAGCTTAGCTAGTTCCCAGCAGTGCGAGCCACAAAAATGATTCCCTATTCACCAATTCATGTAACATAGGTGAATCTATAGAAGACTAATTCTCTCAATTCTGATAAAAAAAAAATCATACCTTGCTGAATTACACAAAGACTTGCCATATAAACTCAGTATTTCAAGTTAATTTATGCTGTTATTATTAATTAATGTGACAGGAAACATTATAAACCAGTTGAGGCAGAATGAATCAACCAAAACATTATGGTAACAACAAAAGTAACCCAAAGATTGAGTTCAATAATTCAAACTAGTCTTGGAATGATAATGACTCTTCTCAAAATTATAGAAGGCATCTTCCATATGGATTGTACATCTGAAGAAGACTGTAGAATGTGGTAACAATGAATAAATTCAATAATCTGAACAACTCTTTCAAAGTATAAAACTGTTTTGTTGAGTTGCTATGAACTCCATTTTCAATATTACACAATTTAAAATTCTTAAAGTCAAAAAAGTTAAGGAAAAATCTTCCATTTTGTGATTTTTTTTTTCTTTTTAAATAGAAACCCACAAGTAATTTTGTGGTCTGTCTGCATTTCATTTTGTTTACAAATAAAATGTAACGTAAAATTATAAGACAGTCTGGATTTTTTCATCTATGTGTAAATATTCACAAAGTTCAATTCAGCAATATTACTATACCTTATCAACTATTTTATGGGGCTTACTACCATACCATGTTGAAAGATTGTTTCTTATATGATCACCAAAGTTAAGCAACATTAAGCCTGATCGTAGGTGGGTAACTGCTTGGGAATACCAGGTATTACAAGCTTGGAAGTGCAGGTGGTATAATTGGAAGTGGAGATCACATAGCTGAGTTTCACTCCCAGTCAAGTGTGTTATGTTCACTTATGCATAAATACCCTTGGGAAATGTATGAATTTTATTCAAAACACTATATTTGACTTTTTGTGATAAATTTTTGAAAAAAAGAAATTGTTTTTTCTCACCCCTGCTTCACTGTTCATTATTTTTGTATCATACCTTCTGTAAGTAATTAATCATTTTAATGCAAATTCAAGTAAACTTTCTTTGCTTTACTATACTGGCTCAGGTACCTTATGCCAGGTGTGTATTGTATTGACACAAATAGAAATATCCAAATGGTTAAGCACTTTCCTGAAGAAAAATGCTGCGAATGTGTTGAGGAGTTTGTGTCACTTCAGTTGCTTCCTTGAAAAGAAGTCTTTTTTTTAATATATACTGTTGTTCACCAAATACAAAACCCAAGAGCCATTCAAGGTAAAGGAGCACTAAATAAGTTTGTTTTCAGGAGCACACAAGGAAGAGATGCATATCATGAGGATAAGTAGGATAGATAATGGTTGACCCTAAACATGAAGACATATGGCAGTAATTCTCCATATTTTGTCTGATCTGTCTCTTGTAATGATCATGCATAGTAAGGATATATTTTTGGATTGGAAGAGTATTTGGGAGATAATAATGATTTATTGTTACAAGCCCTACTATTTAACCCATACCTGAGAGGATAAGAGATGGGTTTATACTTTTCTCAATGATATTTGCATATAAGCAAATATAACAAACACTGACTGGAATTGGAACTCAATTCTCCAATTTCCCGTTCCAAGTCATTAACCATTACAACACCCACAGGTCCAAGCTTATAACACCTGGCATCCCCAAGTAATTACCCATCCAGGTAGCAACAAGATTCAATGTTGTTTAACTTTGATGATCGTACAAGAATGGGTGTTTCAACATGATATGACTTTAACCCTAGAGCATGGAAGAAGAAGTCAGATAATTTCTAGAATGGTACAGGGAACTGACTATTTTTCCAGCGTTGTTAGTTAAGTGTTGTGAACTAAAAATGATTCATCACTCATTCTTGCTTTTCTTCTTTCACTTCTTTTTTCATTTTAATTATTGGACTTTCATGTGGGGGAAGTATACCTTAAAACAGTGTTACTCAAAGTAGTGGTCCACAGACTGGCACCGGTCCGTGGCCAGTGTCCAGGCCATGCTATAAAGAATCATTAAGGTTATATAATTTTTGTTTTTGTGCTAATAAACGGCTTTTTTTTTCTTTTTCTTTTTTTTATTACTTTTTATATATTTTGATATTGAATTATTTTTTTGCAAAATAAATGGTTAAGATAAAAAATAGTCAACTTTTATTATATTCATTATACATATCGTTTCCAGTATAAATTAATATTACCACTAAATATTACGGGTACATGACACATTGAGAGAAAAAATGCCAGTCCACCATATCAGATAGTTTGAGAAGCACTGCCTTAAGATAAATTTAGGGGAGATGAGACTGTGTCATATTTTTAATCAAAATAATAACTCTTTA